CGAGAAGAACCCACCCGATGCATCAGATCCTCCACCGAGAGTCCAAGACCCTCTATGCATGGCCAGTCCTCCTTTATATGGTTGGGTCCATGCCAGCAATCCTCGACCGAGGATAGGGGTATAAGACGGTGGTGCTAAGGCAGGGGCAGAAGTGTCAGCACCACTGATGGTGGCAGAAGGCGCTGCTACGGGTGGGGCAACAGAGACGGCAACGCTGGATGGTGACAGGAACGGTGGCGCTATGGTGAACGGAATAGGCAGGGCGGCGAGGTGTGGGAGACAAAGAGATGATTAGATTTTTTAATTTTTCAGTGGGAGGCGTCTTATGGACGAACCAGCTATTATACGACAGAGTTTGGCCTCATAATAAGTAGAACCAGTCTTAAGATCGTTGCAAGGCATGACTTTAACAGTGATATTTGGGTAAATTCATTTTTTTTTTTTTTCTTATTTCCATGCGTGAAGAGCTATAGCACCACATACAGAACAAATAACAGAGAGCGGACATTTTAGCTTCACCCACGTCTCGTCATGTGCCTACTACTAGGAAGGCAAAACCAAAGCCGCCATTCTCCCACGCAACACGAGCGAAACGCGAACACGATACAAATACTCAAATAGATCTGCGTAGATGTAAATCCGGGCCCGTGCATATAGAAAGCCATGCAGCCCGAGGCCCGTCGGCACGGCCCATGGCCCGGCCTTTTGGCCCGGCACGGGCACGGCACGGCCCGGTGGCCAGCGGGCCCATGCTGGCACGGCCCGATGGACCAGGCCGCGTCTGGGCCGCCACCCTGGCCCGTGCCACGGCCCGAAAGCACGCGCGGTGGTGCAGGCGGCACGCGGTGGAGTGGCCCCGGTGCCCCATTTGGCTCAAGCAGAGAGCAACCACGAAGGCGGCCCCGCCCGGCCGCCTGCCTCGCCTATGGTCAATATAAGCGCGGTAGTGAGAGAGCAGAGAGGCGAGAGCCTGCCGCCGGTGACGCGCTGTACCCCAATCCCTCATTCCCTCCTGGCCTCCCCAATCCCTAACCCTAATCCTCATTCTCTCTCGCTCGCTCGCTCGCTCTCGCTCTGCTCTAGATCTCGATCCACCACCATCGGCCCCGTCCTCGGCTCCGGTGACCTCGCCGGCGCTCCTCCACTCCACCTCGCTAACCCCATCATTCGCCGCCGCGCAGCCGTCTCTCTCTCTCGCTCGCTCCACCTCGCTCTCGCTCTGCTCTAGATCTTGATCCACCGCCGCCACCGCCATCGGCCCCGTCCTCGGCTCCGGTGACCTCGCCGGTGCTCCTCCACTCCACCTCGCTAACCCCGTCCGGCTCTCCCCGTCTCCTCCCTCCTTTCCCTCTCCTCTCGCTCTCGATGAACCGTGAGCCATGTGAGTTCGTGTTCTTCTTCCCTACCCTACCTCGCCCACCTCGCCGTCGATTCTAATTGTTGTCTCCTCCTCCCCACCTTTGGCTCTGGCTTCTTCATCTCCGGCACTGGGCTTCGGAGCGCAGGTTCGTCTTGTTCTTCCCTAACCCTAACCCTACTCTTTCTTTGGATCTGCTCGTCAGTTCTTGTTCTCTCTACTCACTCTGTCTCTGTCTTTTTGAGTTGTAGGTTCGTGCCTGACGCCGCGTCCTCCTCTGGAGTGGACATGGCCAGGCCGCCGAAGCACCCGTCGAGGGGGTGCTGGAGCTGGATGTCGGGGTCAGGCTCAGCCGGTGTCTTTGGTCTTTGGGGCTCAACGCGGGGGGCGGATCAGCATCCCCCCTTGTCGACGGTGAGGACCTAGCGCCGCACCCGGACGAGGAGCTAGAAATCGAGAATGACGACGACTTGCGTGATGACGCAGCCTGCCGATCATTTGGCATCGATCTCGGTGATGGTGGCAACAACTTGACCCATCGATCTCGATGGCGATGACGGTGATGGTGGAGTTGAGGTCTCCACTAACACTCATGGAACCTCTTCCACCTCTGGTAAGAAAGTTTCTGATGTTTGGGATTACTTCCATGAGATTAAGGAGAATAAAATTCGAGTGAGGGCCATCTGTAAACACTTGTGGTGCGCGTTCTGATTGCTAGGTGCATTTTTGGCACTTTGGGCATTTGGGACGGCACATGTTTTCCTGTATGAAAAAACGTAAGCATGCTAGTATGGTCCAGTCTAAACTTGCTATGAATCTTGATGGTTTGAAAAATTGGGTGTATGATCCTATGCTTGCTCGCACTGAGTTGTGCCGTTTGATTGATAGGCTAGACCTTCCTTTAGGGATTGGTGAGACCCAGGCTTGGGAGGATTACATTAAGCGTGCTCACAATCCTCTGTTTCAAAAGGTTTCTAGGCAGACCACCACTAGAGATATGTCTAACTGTTTGATGAACAACGTGCTATGCTTATGAAATCTTTGTTTACTCTTGCATCTTACATTTCTTTAACATCTAATATATGGTGCAGTAATGCTAAAGAGGATTATATTTATTGTTGTTGTTGCTCATTATGTTAGTCTGATTGGGAATTCTGAGAAAAAAGTTGTTGGTTTAAGGTTGATTGATGTTTCTCATTCTGGTAAAAACATTGCTGATAGGATTGCTAGTGTGGTTGAGGAGTTTTGTTTGATTGACAAGGTTTTTTCTATGTCTCTAGACAATGCTTCTGCTAATTCTAGGGCTTTTGAGATTTTGCAACCTATGTTCTTTGGCTATTTAGGTTCTTATCCTGCACCTACAAGAGATGATCCTAACAAGGTGCAGTATTTGCTTGTGCATCAACGTTGTGCATGCCATATAATAAATTTGATTGTTAAATCTGGCATGAAGAGGTTGAAACCTTATACTGAAGATTTCAGAACTGCAATAAGTTTTTTAAATTTCTCTAATCAAAGAATTGCATTATTTAAGAACTACTGCACAGCTCAGGGTCTTAGACCTAAAAAGTTTAGCTTGGATATGGATGTTAGATGGAATTCTACTTATTTGATGCTCAAACATTTACTGCCATATAAGGAAGTCTTTCATGTGTTCATTACATCAAATTATGGTTCTACTTTGTTGACTGCACAGCATTGGTATGTTGCTGAATAAATAATGATATTATTGGAACTCTTCTATAATTCCACTGTTGTTCTATCTGGTGTGTATTATCCCACAGCTCCACTTGTTTTACACCATATGCTTGACATGGCTGAACACTTGCAAAATGCTGAAAGAGATGCTAATTTTAGAATGATTGCTACTCCTATGAAGCTTAAATTCCTTAAATATTGGGAGAAAATTCCACTCATTTATTCATATGCATTCATTCTTGATCCTAGAGCTAAGATGAAAGGGTTCTTTAATGTGCTTGAATTGCTTGCTAAGGCAACTGGATGCACTTATAGTGTGTACTATGCTGATGTCAAAGATGAATTGTATAAACTGTTTGCCAAGTATGAACAGAAATTTGGTGCAGTGAGGAGTCAAAGGGTTTCAGTCCCTTCAGCTCATACTGGTAAGACAAAACAGGCGTGGGGAAGGATCTTTAGAGGTCCTAGTGAATCCCCTGTCTCTTCCCTCTCATCTTCATCTACTCCATCTGCTGTTAGTGAGCTCAAAGCTTACTTGGACAGTGACACTGTCACATGTTATGAGGAATCCTTTGACATACTCCTCTGGTGGCGTGACCACAAGCTAACCTATCCAATCCTGTCGATTATGGCTCGAGATATTATGTCTGTCCCTGTGTCTACTGTCTCTTCGGAGTCCTGTTTCAGCTGTACATCCAGGATACTCGAAGATCGGCGGCGGCGCTTGTTGCCTAAGCATGTTGAGATGCTCACCTGCATCAAGGACTGGGAACAAGGTGCAAGAAGGGAACAACATACACCTGAGGACCTAGAACTGGAGGAGGCATTCAACAACCTCTTCCTCGATGAACAAGGCGAAGGTAGCGGCAGCGGCAGCGGCACCGGCAGCGGTAGCGGCGATACTGCTGTTGGTGGTGGATAGAAGAAGAAGAGAAGAGGAGAGGTAGTCACTAAACTGAAACTTCTTTATATTCAAGATTTGAAGTTCATTATGTCTAACAAAGTAACAATCTAACATTGACATTTTGCAGGTACTTTTGGACTGTGAGTTTGTGACATAGTTGAGGCAGTGAGTGAGTCAAGGATCAAGGATGATGGATGGATGAACATGAACTTTTGTAATAGGATAGAAATAGAACTTCTTGCTGCTGTGATGTGATCATGTGAACTCACTAAGTCTCACTGTGACTTTGCCACTGATGTTGACTATTGTAATAGGATAGAACTAAGACTTTGACAATTTAGAGCTGGCTGTACTCTTTTTTTCTTTCTAGGGTTTCTCACAAGGGTGAGTTTTACCTAGAAAGGTTTTTAATGAGGCAGCATTGCACAAACAGCTCATTTTGATATTATGATAATATCTCTCTTATGTCTTATTGTCTATGAAATGGAATCTGTGAATTGTGAAAGTGAAACACTTAGAAAATTTGATGAAAAAAGAGAGATTTTTTGGCAGCCGGGCCATGGCCCGGCATGGCCTGGTGAAATTGGCCGTGCTCACCGGGCGGCATGGCACGAAAAAACGGCTCGTGGGCCGTGCCTTGGACCAGAGGCGCGGCACGAGCACGACAGCGGCATGGTGGCCCGTGCAGGCATGACGCCGGCACGGCACGGCACGGCCCACCGGGCCGCCGGGCCGGGCTGGCACGGCCCGATGGACATCTATACCCGTGCGTGCTTACCACCGGAAACAAACAGAATTGAAGAAGGCACCGGGCGCGCTCTTGGTTTCGTTTGGTTGCACGCGCCAATCCCCGGCCCGTCGTCGTCCATCCCTCCGGCTTGGCTGCTTGCTCCGCCGTCCCCCCTTCGGCGGTTCGTCCCTTCCCCTATATTAACCACACGCCCTTCCTGCGGAAAGCATTCGTTCCGATCCGAGTGCGGAGAGACAGCTGCACTGCACGCTCGCTTGCGCGGAGAGACACAGACGCAGCGCAGGTCATCGATGCTGCTCATGGACTCGGCGCGCCGCGGCGGCTGCTCCCCGGTCTGCTTGGACCTCAGCGTCGGCCTTTCGCCGTCGTCACCGGGGAGCGGCCCGGAAACGACAGCTGACGCTGAGAGGCTTGACCGTCCGCCCGCCGGCCGCCGCTGGCTGCAGGGTGACATCGTCCCTGTCTGACGGACCGACCGCTGCCTGTCTTCCTCGCCGCTCGATCGGCTTCCTTGCTCCGCTTGGTAACTGAACGATCACCATGCATAATGATGTGGCAGGCCAAGACCCTGGAGGCCCGGCTCACCCAGGTCAGCGAGGAGAACCGGCGGCTCACCGAGATGATCGCCTACCTGTACGCCAGCCAGGTCGCGCGGCAGAGCTCCCCCGACAGCCACCACCAGGCCAGCAGCAGGAAGAGGAGCAGGGACAGCCTGGAGCCGCCGTCGAATTCGAGCGACGGCAACGGCAACACCAAGGCGGAGCCCGGCGACCATACCGTCGAGAGCGCCCTCACCGACGAGGGCACGTGCAGGCGGATCAAGGTCACCAGGGTCTGCACCCGGATCGACCCCTCCGACACCACACTCACCGTCAAAGACGGCTACCAATGGCGAAAGTACGGCCAGAAGGTGACGCGCGACAACCCGTCCCCGAGAGCCTACTTCCGCTGCGCGTACGCTCCCTCCTGCCCCGTCAAGAAGAAGGTACTATATTTCATTTCACGCATTTCTTCGCGGTGATCGTCGGCCGCCAAGAAGAAGGCAGTCTGTCGCTGACGACAACTCTGTTCAATCCTTGGAATGGAACAGGTGCAGAGGAGCGCGCAGGACAGCTCCGTGCTGGTGGCGACGTACGAGGGTGAGCACAACCACCCGAGCCCGACGCGCGCCGGAGAGCTCCCAAGCCCCGCGACGGCGAATGGGCCCGTGCCGTGCTCCATCTCCATCAACTCCTCCGGCCCGACCATCACGCTGGACCTCACCAAGAATGGAGGGGGCGGCGTGCGGGTGCTCGAGGCCGCCGAGGCGCCCGACCTCAAGAAGCTGTGTCAGGAGATCGCGTCGCCGGATTTCCGGACGGCGCTGGTGGAGCAGATGGCGCGCTCGCTCACCAAGGATCCCAAGTTCACCGACGCGCTGGCTGCTGCGATCCTGCAACAGCTGCCGGAGTACTAGTGCCTAGCGTCCCCCCCTGTTCTTAGTACTTCAGAGTGTCCGTCTTCAAAGAGCGGTTCTTCCGTCAGCAAATAAAAACCTTGGTAGGAACAGTTTTACGTTTACTGAGATTAGAGCCAAATCTCCCTCAAATTTGTATGCATAATTTCAAGTTTTTTTTCCTTCTGGTTAGGATCTGAACTGTACTAGTACTGTACATTTCACATGTCCATACACCATAGTTCCATCACGAATTAAAATAAGGGCCATTGTCAAATATCACAATTCCCAACTGTCTTGTTTTATCAGAATTTGATCCTCCTAAGGTATCAATGACCAAAATTTCGCCACGATTTCCTCATAAAATACATCTTCCACAAGATCTATCCTACACATCTTACGGTGTTTGGAGTACAGTTTGATTAAAGGATGTGTGGGTGATTAATTAGTTTCAATATACCTCAAGCTTGAAATGCATCTTTCGCTCAAATCGTATTCCGATTAGATCTCATTTGTACAATAATTTGAAATCCAATATCTGTGTTTTACATTTTTATGCAAAAGTCGACATTCTCAAAGTATATGCAACAACCAATTAATTCAATATCTGTGTTTTACATTTGTACAATATCAGTGTTTTACATTTGTACAATAATTTAAGATCCAATATCGGCTTAACCCAATTAATTCGGTCGTCCCCATATTCTATCATTTGTAATGCCTAAAACTATGCCGCCTTGATCCACGATCAATTGCACAAGAGAATTCATAGTTTAATATAATTTCACATCACACTAAAAGTATTTAAATTCACATCAAAAGTTTTATTTCACACTTAGTTTAGCACAAGCGCATATCCATACATCAGAGTTCTACTACGGAAAACCTAACATAAGTTTGGTACATTCTTATGGAACATGCACACCCATAAGCTACATCTCACATCGAGGGCACGCTAGTACTCAGCAAACTGTCTGGGGGACTGAGGGCAACGAAATATCCATCCATAAATACAAGCATCCTCACCTGCAAAACTCAAACCCGCACATGCCAAAAATTAATGGCACTGCTAGCACTCATACGTCTGGACAGATGGGGTGTCCACACACCCACACCTGCAGTCCGCTTCCCGTGTCATTTCGCGCGCCCACGCGAGGCCCGCGCCGCATGGAGGCACCCGTCCAAGAGGAGTCTTAAGCCATCGGTGACCACTGCTGCAGGGCGTGGTCTGCCTGCCGCCACTAACCGCCATGGAGGCGAGAAACACCAAAAAAAACTGATCCACACCGACAATAAGAGATCCACTGCACTCACCCGATCTACTTTTGAAACATCTAGATACAACACTTGCAACATACAAAAAAAAGACATATGAAACACTTGAAACATATTTCTGAAACAATTGCAAAAACACCTAAAAACACTTGAAAACCATTGCAAATATACGATATCTAGATAAAACACTTACAACATATGTGTGAAACATATGCAACATCAAGATAAACAGACTTACAACATATGTCCGAAAACATAAATGAAACATTGGGAACAGACCTTTGCAATATATGGAACATCCTGATCTGCTTTTGCAACATCCATCTCAAACACTTGCAACATACCTCTGAAACATCTTAAACACTTAAAACATATGCTTGCAACATGCAATTTTCGCCCCTTCTTCTTCTTCCGTGCAACGCAGAGCAGAGCGGGGAACGGTTGGGTCCGACCAGTCGGCGGCAGAGGATGGTGGCGCGGCCTAGCAGCGGTCAGCTACGCCTGCGCCTGGCCTGGGTCCAGCCAGCGACGGCCCAATCTCCTCGCCGTCTGGCGTAGGCAAGGCGGAGAACGGGGGCACGGCATGGCGCGGCGGGGGACGAAGACGCCGCGGGGGATGGAGGCGCCACAGGGAATGGCGTCGGTGGCACGCCAGAGTGGTCGCGTGGCGCGGGATGGAGGCACCACGGGGGATGGCGGCGGCGGTGCAGCAGAGTGGGGCGGGCGGATCAACCGTGAAGCCGCAACGACCGAAGCGAATGGGGAATTTCTGTCATAACATGCTCAGTAGAGAGTAGAGAGATTTTTTAGGGGAAGTAGAGAGTAGAGAGATGGGGGAGAGCATAGAGGGGAGCAGCTGGTTGCTTGTTGGGCCGGACTGCTACGCAGGCCCGGGAACACAGCGACCGGACGGACGGACGTCCGCTCCTAAACATTACCATTAGACTAAGGCCCTCTTTGGAACGCAGGAGTTTCACAAGAATCTCGTAGGAATTTCACGGGGACCAGCTCATTTTCACATAGATTTTTGTAGGAATCTTGTTGGAAACAGGGAAATTCCTTCAATTCAAAGGGGGCTAAATCAAACCATCCTAATTTAGAATTCATCAATACCCATGGCCACTACTGACGCTGTGGAGCCGAGGTCCCTACGGCAACCGCCAAGAGCCGGGTGAGGCCCATCCATCCCACGCGAGGTGAGCCAAATCAATGAAATGAAACTAGTATGGCACAAGAGTTTTTATGTTTAGAATAGTCCCATATTAGGAATTACATTTAGGAGAACTCTTCAATCTGCTCTCAAGAGTCCCCGCTGACAAGAAGGTTCGCTTACTTTCCATCAAAATCTTTACCCCTCCAAAATGACGAGAACTTTACCAGCCCTGGCCCCTGGACGGCGGAAAGAAGTTGCCTTTGGTTCCATACCTGGCATTTTAGCCTAGGCCCAAACTCAGCCCAGCCCACGTAACAAAAGCGTTCTGGTCATTTCTTTTAGCGGCCTATAGCTGACAAAGCCCAAAGGTGATACAAGGAGGATGCAGATCCTCTCACGAAGAAAAAAAATGAGGACCAAGGCTAACAAGTGACAACTACTCCCTCGATCTTAAAATAAGTGTCACTATAGTATTAGTGTCGGTTAAACTTTTTAGCATTGACTATATTTATAAAAAATATTAGCAAACATTTGTATTTTCAAATAAGTTTATTACGAAAATATATTAAACGATCTATCTAATAATACTAATTTTATATTAAAATATTAATAGTTCCTTTTATATATTTGGTCAAAGTTAAAAGACTTCTCAAAAAACAAGAATGACATTTATTTTGGGACAGAAGGGGTACTTTATGTTTGACAGAGGTTTTGACGTGGCCACCGCTTTAAACTCGGTTGCCGCTGCTGGCTTGGGACGGATGACGGAGTACGCCAGTCGCGAGGCGCTGAACAGGCGAAGGGGAAGCAACGCTGGCCGCTAGGGCTGTTTCTTGAGGCCTCGTGGGGTGTTCATCCGTGGGCTTTTGGTCCAATTAGAAAGTGGGCTCTACATGTATACTTTATGTATATATTTATTTTTCTCATCAAAATCTTTGGGTATACAGGGGATACCCCTGGCGCCGACCCTGACGGTAACGTATGTTGCGGCCCGAATATTCGAGTGAGGAATCTAGATGCGTCTGAAAAAAATTAGAAGACCATGCAAGTTTCACCCTTTTACTTCACGGAGTCGACGCTATTGGATGAAGTCGATCTCGATCAGCATTCAGGTAGCAGGTCTAGTGGCTAGTGGGATACAGGAGGCACCCCACGTCCACAGAAGAAAGCACATCACTTTCCGTCTCTGTCCTGCGTCTGCAAACAGAAATATCCGCCAACCCTACGATCGAGCCGACCATGTTTCACGACCCGATCAGGTTTTATGTTAACAGCAGGTTTATTGACAATCAGGTAGTAGTAGCTAACTACTTATGAACTAAGCATATTTTAACTGTTAGTTTCTATTAGAGTTGGAACTTGGATGCGGACTGTGGTATGGTCTTTCTGGTATGGCCTAGAAGCAAAGTACGGGTGCACAGGATCATTTCAACAGTGGATGAAACTTGCTCACGTTGTGAACAACCCAGGAAACGAAAAACATCTGTTCTTTGATTGTAGCTTTGCACAGGTTTATTGGCAGCTAGCTGCTAGTTCTTCATTGTGTTGCATTGTTCCTGCTCTGAATTTGCGAAAATAAACCAGGGCATATACATATTCTAGAGACGAGAGCCCTTAACAATGGCGCGCAACTGCACGATCGACGTCTGCAAGTCAGCTCGTCAGTTCTCGGCGCGTTTGATGGGTCACTCCATCACGGGCACACTGTCCAGTTGTTGGCTCTCCCCGTTCGCTTCGCTGAAAAAATAAGTCGAAACCGGCTGATTTGTTGTGAGAGAAAAACACTGTTCCGACTAAAAAAACAGGCTGAAAAAGACGGATTATAAGAGATTGCATGCCGAAGTGCCTAACTCCCGCTCACACTCACACGACTGATGTGATGAGCACGGCCTGCAGCTCGATCTCCGCCGGGAATGTTCGGCACAGCCGCACAAGCTGCAGCTAGCAAAGGGGTCCTTCGCATACTAGGGCTTTCGTAACGAGCAGAAGATGCTGGACACACAGTTTTGTTTTGCAGACGAGACGAGCCCTTATTTGTTTGCGTCGCTCGGCGCTCGATCTCCCACTCCCATTATGTTTCGTCGTTGCATCCATGCACGCGGCGACCAAACGCTCCCTGCCAAAGTGCCAAAGCAGCAGGGTTGACCCCGTGGCGCGTCCACCAGCAGACTCAACTCTGAAGTGGGCCAATGATCCATGTGTGTGACAGACGTTGCTCAAAGTGGTTAGACATGGTCAACCTAGTTGCGGCCGTATACTTATCGTATATCACGTTGTTTTTATGCAGAGGCCGGACGATGTCGACCGCAGGAATCAGGATCCTTTTGGAGTTTATCTGAACGGCCAGTTGGCTCAATCGGGACTGGTGTTACAAACTAACTACTCAGCCTAACTGCACGTCTGCATTAGCACTACTGCACAAATGGTTCGGTTACCTGGTCCATCAAGCTGGACGACGGGACATCACTGATGATTCACTACTGGACTCGCATGCTTTGCCGAGGGGCCCTCGGCAAAGGACCAGGAACCCTCGACAAAGGCTTTGCCGAGGGCTGTCATCGGCAAAGACCCCTCGAGGAATTTTTAGACGACG